TTTTTTTTTCTAAGGGTCCATCATGTTTTTACACATGGATTTTTAAATTTTTAAATAACCTTTCGTCTTATTGAATTTGAATTAACATACGTATTGTTACAACAACACTAAAACTCCTGACGATGTTGTATGATAGTAGTATAAAGTTAGATTAGTTTTATTTTATCGGAATTGTMAGTTTTTGTGAATTCCTTTAATTAAAAAAACTCATAGACTTACCAAACGGCCGTCAAGAGGTAATTTTGAATCTGAGGTTAAAAATAATCTAATTTGATTTATTCTGAGAATACAATTTTCTTCTACCAAATCTTAATTTTACAAATTAAATTTTGATATTTTTCTCCGTTTGTTTTTTCCAGGTTTGTATAATGTTCATAAACATATCTTTATTAATTTAATGTTGTGTCGTTGTTTCACCACTAGCTCTGAGTTTGAATACTTTAAATATTCTTAATTTTGGAAAGAATATCAAATCAATGTCAGCTATAACAGATAATATTATATTTTTAGTATTATAATATACTAATATAGGTATATCATACTAAATATTTTTTTTWTTTATGTCATATTGCAATGATAAAAAAGTGCGTCTAAATGTTCAAAATTTYTATAAGTACATATTATTACCATACCATAAATGTTTAAATATAATCACGATATATTACCGTTTATTGAAATGATCCCATGACACCAAATTACGTTAATTGCATAATACTTTGACATTAGCGTGTTAAGGGCGTATATTAGTATCAAGAAAAGTATTAGATGCGAAGTGAATCCGGTCGGTAACATCCYGATAAAGTATCCAAGCAGAATCAAGCCACTGATAAAAACCAATACAGCCCGATTGCCTTTTAGAATGACCGTCAAGTCATTTTTGGTCACTTGATATTGGGATCCGTGGTTGTCCTATAATATACATTGTACACAGTGAACGTTTAGTTCACTTATTTCATTGATACTATGGTAGTTTTTATACTATCGTTATTATTTTAGATCGTTATATTAGAAGATAACTATATCATCAAATTRCGTAGGTAATAATATATTCAATCACTCACATCGTTATCGTTTACGCGACCACTGTAAGACTGCGATATCTCTCGTCTAATTTCRGATTTGTGGTTGCCCTATATACATTTAAACGTTTACTTATATTATTGATACTATATAATATGGTAGTTATTGGTAGTTGTTATATTGTTCAATAACTCACGTCGTTAACGTTTTCGAGATGTTTGTGATTCTTAGATATTTCTCGTYTAATTTCGGATTGGTGGTTGCCCTATATACATTTAAACGTTTACTTATATTATTAATATTATATGGTAGTTGTTAATTGTTATATTATTATGGTATCAGAAAATAACCAAATCATCAAATATTATTATATTATTCAATCGCACTCACATCGTTATCGTTTTCGAGATATCTGCAATTCTGCAATATTTCTCGTCTAATTTTGAGTTTTCTCTGCACGTACCAATTCAATAACACCAAAGTCGATAAAATGAAGGCATATTTGTAGATCATGGTCCTTTTGAGAGCCGTAATTTTATTATTAAATATCAACTAATATTATAATAGGAATTTKTATTGTTTATTTTTGTATTGTTACCTGGCAACTGGCTGTATATTAAAATAATAGTATGAAAACCAAATAGGAAACATATGATCGGAATGTTGGACAATAGATAAAACAACGGA